CTTGATACTCTTATTGATCTTGATGTTTCTATTGTCAAGAGAAAGGGTGTGAGATCTTATACTCAACATCCTATCTCAAATTTTGTGTCCTACTCTCATTTGTCGTTCTCATATAGAGCTTTTGTGTTAAATATTTCCTTTGTTAGCATTCCTAACCATTTTCAGGATGCTCTTGCTACCTCTGAGGGGAAACTTGCCATGATTGAGGAAATGAAAGCACTTAGGAAGAATGACACTTGGGAATTGATTGAGTTACCTAAGGGCAAACAACCTGTGAGATGCAAATAGGTGTACCCTGTGAAACACAAAGTGGATGGTTCTATTGAGTGTTATAAGGCTAGACTTGTGGTAAAAGGATTCATTCAGGCATATGGCGTTGACTATCAGGAGACCTTTGCACCCATGACTAAGATAAATTCAATCAGAGCACTTCTCTCTCTAGCAACTAATCTAGATTGGCCACTTCATCATATTGATGTAAAGAATACCTTTCTCTATGGTGACCTAGAAGAACAGGTATATATGGACATTCTTCCTAGTTTTGAGGATCATCAGATAGAGGGTAAAGTATGCCGGCTTCGGAAGTTGTTATACAGTCTCAAACAGTTTCCAAGGACTTAGTTTGAGAGATTCACTTAGGCTATGCTTAAATATGGCTTCAAATAGAGTCAAGTAGATCACACCTTATTTGTGAAACATTCCTCATGTGGTAAGACTACAGCGCCCATTGTTTATGTGGACGACATAGTTCTTACAGGTGATGATAGTGAGGAAATACCTTTGTTAAAGAAATATTTAGCAAGTGAGTTTGAAATCAAAGACTTGGGGAGCTTGAAGTATTTTCTAGGAATTGAAGTTGCTCGCTCCAAGGATGAGATATTTATCTCATAGAGGAAGTATGTGCTTGACCTGTTAAAGGAAACTGGGATGTTTGGCTGTAAGGCCCGTGACACTTCATTGAAACCCAATCAGAAATTGGCAGATGATGAAGGAGTAGCTGTTGATAGGGGGAGCTATCAGTGATTAGTGGGTAAGCTCATCTAGCTATCTCACTCCTGTCTTGATATTGCTGTTGATGTCAGTGTAGTTAGCCAGTTTATGCATGCTCCTCATTAGGTTCACTTCGAGATTATCATAAGAATTTTGACGTACTTGAAGTCTACTCCTGGTATGGGTCTTTATTTTTCAAAGCATGATCATCTTCATGTGGAAGCCTATATAGATGCTGACTGGGCTAGATCAGTAATTGATAGGAGATCAACTTTAAGGTATTGCACCTTTGTTGGAGGCAACCTAGTTACTTGGAGGAGTAAGAAACAAAATGTGGTTGCCAGGTCAAGTGCAGAAGCTGAGTTTAGAGCTATGGCACAAGGAGTGTGTGAGCTCTTATAGATCAAGTTATTGTTGAGTGATCTAGGAATTGATCAGACAGATTCCATGCGGTTATACTGTGATAATAAGGCCGCGGTTAACATTGCTCACAATCCGGTTCAACATGACAGGACAAAGCATGTTGAGATTGATCACCACTTCATTAAGAAGAAACTCACTAGTGGCACAATATGTACTCCATTTGTGCAGACTAGTGAACAACTCGCCGACATCCTTACTAAGGGAGTTGGGAGTAAGCCACTGTATGACATCCTAGTCAAACTGAGCATGAGAGATATCTTCGCACCAGCTTGAGGGGGAGTGTTAGATTATTATTCAATTATTAGTTGGTTATTATTCAATTGTAATTATTCTATGCCTTAGGGCTCCCTTGTAATTATTAATCTTCATTAATATAAAAAGGGGATGATATCACAATCATTCCCTAATCTTGGTATTCTCTAAAATTACATTAAGTACAATTTTAATTTGTGTATGAACAACTTTATCTCCTCAAAAGTATGCTTTCATTCACACTACGCTACACACTCCACATCAAGCATAAGGGCACCCACCACCTTCCAAGTTAAAAGGTACCCTGCACTCAAAATTGAAGGAAAAGCCAATTTGAGGCTGAGATATCCCAAGCAACACCAGAAATGGTAAAAGGACAACCTCAAAGCTCTCTCGTCACCTTGCAATGTAGAAGCAAGTGGTCCATCGATTCTCATCTTTGCAACACACAAAACTCCATTTAGCTATGAAGTATGGGTATTTTGATTAACATGTCGTACCCGTACCAGCTACTTACTGAGTATTGGTACTTCGTATGGTACTTCTGTATACGTACTGAATACATGAAATACGTACTTAAAATTTTTCTTCTTAAGTTTTGTTGTACCGTAGACATACCTGGTATTCGAAATATATATATATATATATATGTTTTTTTCTAATACAAAGGTACAATTAGTTTCATTAGACTTTTTTTATAATTATTATTGTACTTAGCATTTTTTTAAAATTAAGCTATGGTTTGTAAGTTATTTAATAATGACATTTAATTTTGGTTTACGCATTTACTTTTGGCATTAAATGTGAATTGTAAGTTTGATCGTAGCAAACTAAATCATTAAACTAATTTTTACATTACTCTAAATTAAAAATAAATATATTTTTTTTAATAAATGTACCCATCCGTACCAATTAGTACTTGTACCTTTTTTATTTTTATAGATTTTACTGTATTGATGTACCCATATCGTACAAGTACCCGTACTTGTACTTGTACCTGTGCCTGTACACATGCTTTCATCGTTTTTTTAGGAAGGAGATGATCCCACTTCCATATTCAAAATAGCATCCAAAGTTGCTCTCCAAACTACTAGTCTTTCTGAGCTAATGCCATTCTTGCACTTTGGAAGGAAGGAGAAAGAGGTATAAAACACCATCAAGCTCCTTCACATGTACCTCGATAGACACCATAGTCTCTGTTGACCCAGACCCAACCTTCTCCTTGTCTAGCCGCGACATACCCGATTTCCCAAAACAGCCCACCAAACACATCTGTAGAAACTTAGTCAACTCATCATATGATGTGGGATCCACCTCCACTCATGTAGGTTCTGTAATTCCCTATTGTAGAACCCTAATTGGGCATTTTGGCCATCTTTACAACAGTGCCACCTCTAGAAAGTCTCCCTCTCCTTAGTGAAAGTTGGTTCTCCTTCATTGCAAACACTCGCAAAGTCCTGGAAAGGCCTGTACCTTTATAAATATTTTTACATTACTCTAAATTAAAAATAAATATATTTTTTTTAATAAATGTACCCACCCGTACCAGTCAGTACCTATACCTTTTTTTAATTTTTTTTTTATATAGATTTACCGTATCGACATACCCATATCGTACAAGTACCCGTACTTGTACCTGGGCCTGTACACATGCTTTCATCATTTTTTTAGGAAGGAAATGATCCCACTTCCATATTCAAAATAGCATCCAAAGTTGCTCTCCAAACTACTAGTCTTTCTGAGCTAATGCCATTCTTGCCTCTTTGGAAAGAAGGAGAAAGAGGTATAAAACACCATCAAGCTCTTTCACATGAACCTCGACAGACACCATGGTCTCTGTTGACCCAGACCCAACCTTCTCCTTGTCTAGCCGTGACATACCCAAACTCCCAAAACAGCCCACCAAAAACATCTGTAGAAACTCAGTCAACTCATCATATGATGTGGGATCCACCTCCACTCACGTAGGTTCTGTAATTCCCTATTGCAGAACCCTAATTGGGCATTCTGGCCGTCTTTACAGCAGTGTGACCTCTAGAAAGTCTCCCTCTTCTTAGTGAAAGTCGGTTCTCCTTCATTGCAAACACTCGCATAGTCCTGAAAAGGCCTTTCCATCCCACACGATCACCTTCTTTTGTAAAACTAATCTTCTTATTGCCCTCATACCTCTAACTCAAAAAATCTCCCCCTCCCCAATTTCTTGGGCTTTTACACTACACCATTTGACTCCCCCTCAAAAAATTGCTTGAAAAACTCTGCTCTGCCATGACGTCTCTGAGAGTTGCTCACACAACAACGCAGCTAATCAAAATGTTGAGAAATGGCCCTTCCAAAACCTTTGCTCCTCTTGATCAGAGTCAACTCCTTCTATGCTCCCCATTCTTCCACCTAATCAAATGTGTAGAGAAATGGCTTTTTGACAACCTCTGTCCTACTTGATTTTTTATTTTTTTTATTTTTTGCTGTGTGCCTCTCTTGATTAGAGTCTACTTTTTCCTATGTGTGCCCCTTCTTCTGCCAAATCAAATGTTTTCCATCCTAAGTCCTAACTGAAATGTTTTCCACCCCTTATCAACAACCATCTGAGAAATCATTTCAATTGCTTTATGTTTTACATTTCAAGAGTGTCTAAATGCTGCAAATAATTTTTTGACTTTAAATTTAACATCCTCTACACTCATTTTTTGGAAAATGAGAGTATAGCTAAGATGAGAATCCTTAGATGGATGTGTGGTATGAATAGGAAAGATAGATTTAGAAATAAATATATTTGTAAAATGGTGGAAGACTGAAGTAGTACCAAATTGAAGATAAGCTGAGAGATGACAACTTAAGATGGCTTGATGTACAACAAAGACCTATAGATGCAAGGGTAAGGAAGAGTGATATGATCACCATAAATGGAAATGTTAAGGGGGGAAAGGGCAGAGGAAGACCTAAACTGATATGGAATGTGGTCGTAAAAAAGATATGAATTTATTTAATTTAACTGAGCCTATCATCTATGCACTTAGCTATGGTGCTACAACATTGGAGAATCCAAGCATCTGCACCTTTGGTATCCTATGTTACATTTTGATTCTTTGCATTAGCTTCATGTTATTTTTGTTTGTGCTCTGTTTCGGCCAATACAGATTCTGTTGGTTGTATTTATTCAACAGCTGCAAATGTGCTTTTGTATACAATTCTAGATAGTGCGATGTAACATAAATAAATATCTTATATATTTTATATTGATAAATACTTTGGTTTAATCTTGATATTGCATCAAACATGCACGAATTTCATTTGAATTTTTAGATTTAAAAAAAAAAAAAAAACCTTGTTATACACAGGGCCGGAGACTCTTTTACGTAAATCTTCAAATTTGGCCACAAATGTTGGATCAGATGGATACTTTCAAGGAGATGATGGAGATGTAATAGAAGCTTATGAGTGGAAATGTGTCAGTATGGTTAATGGTAATTTTTTTTTTGTCCTTTCATCTTATCTCAATAGATGGTTACTTGGCTCTATTTTATGTTCTCCGTTGATATATTTATGTCTTTAGATTTCATTTTTTATCTTGTTAGTCTTTAACTTCATAGTTTATGCCCTTGTGTGGCATTGTCAACATCCACACAGTGTGAGTGTGCTCCTATGTTGGGAAAGTTATGGATACTGTGGTTGTTTATGTGGAGGCTTTTGATGCTTACAAATACAATGAGGGTAAGCTTTTGTTAATTGGGTCAATCTGAACATGGTAGTATTAATTAATTGTGTCAAATACTCAGCCCTGACTGAAGTTTCTTTGATATGGTTTGACATAATATAATCCTCATAACCTATTTAACAAACGAGTGTTGCTAGGATTGACATTCTTAACTTGTGAATCCAGATGATCGCTTTTGATCCGTTCAACACATTAATTAGTCCGTAATTCTCAATGACAGAATATGAGAAATCTCTCGTTCATATTCAACCAAAGAATTTACAGAAATATATAGGAACAAACTAAAGTATAAAAGGAAACTCTCCTAAGACCTAATCCCCATAAATCAGGGATATTAACATTCTAATTACAGAACATATACACAGACATATACACAGCTGTAATACACATTTTCCCCATCTACTGAGCTGTCAAATCTTCACAGCCTATTCATGCCATAATTTACCAATTCTAAGACTCAATAAAATACGAAAGGATTTTTTTATTTTATTTATAAATTCACCCTTTTATGCATTTACATCTGATGGGTTAAACCTTTCATTTTTACCTGGTTAAGTTGGTGCTATCTACAATGGTTGACATGAATGTTTTATTAAATGGAATAAATTATGTTAAACAAGTTGAGGTATAAAACGTATTAACCCTTTTATTTTTATTTTTTTGTTACAAGAGTTAAGTGTGTTGACCCATTTATAAGCAATTTGAACCCTCTTAACTTTGTGTTGGGTAGGAATGTTGTTTATGGATCTTATAAAAAATTAGTACACCTAATTTAGGGCAATATTCTCATTACTATGGCATTCTTGTAGCTAAAGAAGTACAAATACTTCTAGCGAGTTGTGTCCATGTCTGACACATGGCGGACAATGTCACTTCTTAGATACTCCTAGAAATGTGTCCAACACTCTTGAGTATTGATTTTGTCTTAATTTAAAAATGAAAATTTAAAATTATGGAAACTTTGGGTGACACTTCTTGGCACTTCAACAATACTTCTCAGAAGCTCTTTGGCATGATCTATGTAGTGTTTTTTTGTCTGCTTCTTTTTTTTTTTTTTTTTTGGGGGTGGGGGGGGGTGGGTGGGGTGGGGGGGGGGGGGTGAGAATTGATTAGTAAATATCGTATAGAAGAGGCTAGAAGGAGCAAAACCTCTGAGCACAACATCTATACAAACAAAATCAAAACTCATCTACAAAGTCAATCTCTCCCATGAAATCTATGAAAGAAAGTTTTGAGTCATAAAACTTCCATGTAATCCAAAAAATGAAGCATATGCAATAAAGTTGCTTCCAATCTATGCATAAATAAATCTATGCCAAACTTATTTGGTGGATCTATTAATTGGAATAATATAGTATGGAAATGCAGCTCATACACCCAAAATTTATCTTAAACTTCTGAAAAGAATTACAAACTATGTGTGACCAAAATAAAGTATACAATGGACAACTTTTAACATAAGAAAAAATATAAATAAAGTTAAAAGAATAATGTAGTAAGAAAGCTAATGGTAAGAATATCTACTATATACATGATACAATTTTTTGATAAGCAAATGACATATATATATATATATATATATAACACTACCAAAAAGATGCATCAAAGGGGATGCAACTTGTTAAAATTGGAAGAAATTAGCAAAATTCATAAATTGATCAAGGGCAAGTATCATTGCCCTTGACAGCCAAGCCCTCCTGACAACTGCCTACATAGGCAGAGTTATGGTGTAATGAGTGGTGTCAAGGGGATGCAACTCATTAAAATTGGAAGAAATTAGCAAAATTCATAAATTGATCAAGGGCAAGTATCATTGCCCTTGACAGCCAAGCCCTCCTGACAACTACCTAAACAGGCGGAGCAATGGTGTAATGAGTGGTGTCAAGTGACACCACTCAACTTTGAATTTTTTTTAGAGTAAATGTTAAATTTACCTAAAATATTTTGGATTTTAACAATTGAACCCATTGACATTAAAGAAACAAAAGAGAATTGTTGTTTTTATTTCACTTTATTATAAATACATTCTAAAAAATTGCCTTTGCTGTTTAAAATTACATATATATGATTCTTAATGCACATTAGAATACAATTTTTGGAGAAAATTTACAAAAGCATTGTAGTGAAAATAACAACTACAATTATCATGGTCATTAATTCTACCAATTACAATTACAATTGTGAAAAGGTCTTTAGTTTTGATGCAATTTATAAAAAAAACTCATTAGTGATGATTTTTTTATTTTGTTTAGAGTAATGATTGAATCAATCATTATTTGGCCACATATATTGAAAAAAAAATGTATTGCATAACTAGCAAGGTTATCATATATATAATGATTCAAAAAATAAAAATTTGTGAACAATTGTGTAAGTGTAGATCTTTGCTTGATTTTTTTTGAAGTATTAATGTATCAACTTTTAAAATACCTTTTGTCGATGTGATTGAAAATATATAAAATTATAGTGTAAAATTTGATTTGGATATAGGTTGTGTAGAACTTATACTATCATAATGATATTGATGATACTTTTTAACTAAACCCAGTAAACTACAATCCTGGCTACGGCACTGACTACCTATACGAAATAGCCAAAAAGAACTTTCAAGTTTCAATCCATACATTGGCTTCTCTTCATTTTGAAAGGTTCTACGATTTTTCTTGTCATGCCCGGAATTTCTTGATGTATAAGATTTAGAGTGTTGGCGTGTTTTTAGGTTGGTCAACTATACATGAGCAGTATTAAGTGGTTAGTTGTGTCTTTAGCCTATAATAGGTGGTTTAGGCTCCTAATAATCAATTTATGACATTTTGGTATCGTGATATTCAGAGGAGCTTTAGCTCTTTGTATTCTAATTTGGTATTTTTCTCTTTAGACAGTTCTCCTTAAGGCTCAATTTGATTAGGATGAAAATGGTAGAAAGTGAAAGAAATGGAAAAAAACAAAATTTTTCTAAGTTTGTTTAGCATAAAGGTGGTGAAAGTTACAAGAACATTAATTTTCTTGTACAACTCATAATAGCATGGTAACTAAGCTTCCAGTTTCTTGCAAAAAAAAGCAAGAAAATACTAGAAAGTTTAAATTTGTTATAAAAGTAGTTAACTTATAATTAGAATTCCTATTTTCTTACAAAATTTTCATCATAATCAAATTCATGTGAGAAGATATCTTCTTTTCCTTTTCTTTTCTTTCACTTTACTTTCTATCATTTTCACTTTCCATAAATTATTTCTTTCTAATCAAGCGGAGCCTTAGATTTGATTGCATCATTTGGTATTAGAGCTTTAGATCCCATTTTGTTTGTCACTTTCCATTTTGGGATGTCCCAAAATATTAGTCCTATTTGAAAAGTAAAAAGTGTTTTGTTTTCCAAAACTATACCTTTTAAGTGTTTATAAATATACTAAAAAATGCAAAGTGTAGAAATTTAATGTATAAAGAGAAATAGAGAATTGTATTATTGATTGATTTATATTGATATCTATTACAATGATTCATGATTCCTATATATAGAAGAGGGTGAGTGTGTAGTAGGTAAGGAGTAGGTGAAGTGGAGGTGGTAGTGGTGTAGTGGGTTAGGTTTAGTGGAGTAGGTGAGATGGTAGTGGTGTAGTGGGTTAGGTTTAGTGGAGTAGGTGAGATGGTAGTGGTGTAGTGGGTTAGGTTTAGTGGAGTAGGTGAGATGGTAGTGGTGTAGTGGGTTAGGTTTAGTGGAGTAGGTGAGATGGTAGTGGTGTAGTGGGTTAGGTTTAGTGGAGTAGGTGAGATGGTAGTGGTGTAGTGGGTTAGGTTTAGTGGAGTAGGTGAGATGGTAGTGGTGTAGTGGGTTAGGTTTAGTGGAGTAGGTGAGATGGTAGTGGTGTAGTGGGTTAGGTTTAGTGGAGTAGGTGAGATGGTAGTGGTGTAGTGGGTTAGGTTTAGTGGAGTAGGTGAGATGGTAGTGGTGTAGTGGGTTAGGTTTAGTGGAGTAGGTGAGATGGTAGTGGTGTAGTGGGTTAGGTTTAGTGGAGTAGGTGAGATGGTAGTGGTGTAGTGGGTTAGGTTTAGTGGAGTAGGTGAGATGGTAGTGGTGTAGTGGGTTAGGTTTAGTGGAGTAGGTGAGATGGTAGTGGTGTAGTGGGTTAGGTTTAGTGGAGTAGGTGAGATGGTAGTGGTGTAGTGGGTTAGGTTTAGTGGAGTAGGTGAGATGGTAGTGGTGTAGTGGGTTAGGTTTAGTGGAGTAGGTGAGATGGTAGTGGTGTAGTGGGTTAGGTTTAGTGGAGTAGGTGAGATGGTAGTGGTGTAGTGGGTTAGGTTTAGTGGAGTAGGTGAGATGGTAGTGGTGTAGTGGGTTAGGTTTAGTGGAGTAGGTGAGATGGTAGTGGTGTAGTGGGTTAGGTTTAGTGGAGTAGGTGAGATGGTAGTGGTGTAGTGGGTTAGGTTTAGTGGAGTAGGTGAGATGGTAGTGGTGTAGTGGGTTAGGTTTAGTGGAGTAGGTGAGATGGTAGTGGTGTAGTGGGTTAGGTTTAGTGGAGTAGGTGAGATGGTAGTGGTGTAGTGGGTTAGGTTTAGTGGAGTAGGTGAGATGGTAGTGGTGTAGTGGGTTAGGTTTAGTGGAGTAGGTGAGATGGTAGTGGTGTAGTGGGTTAGGTTTAGTGGAGTAGGTGAGATGGTAGTGGTGTAGTGGGTTAGGTTTAGTGGAGTAGGTGAGATGGTAGTGGTGTAGTGGGTTAGGTTTAGTGGAGTAGGTGAGATGGTAGTGGTGTAGTGGGTTAGGTTTAGTGGAGTAGGTGAGATGGTAGTGGTGTAGTGGGTTAGGTTTAGTGGAGTAGGTGAGATGGTAGTGGTGTAGTGGGTTAGGTTTAGTGGAGTAGGTGAGATGGTAGTGGTGTAGTGGGTTAGGTTTAGTGGAGTAGGTGAGATGGTAGTGGTGTAGTGGGTTAGGTTTAGTGGAGTAGGTGAGATGGTAGTGGTGTAGTGGGTTAGGTTTAGTGGAGTAGGTGAGATGGTAGTGGTGTAGTGGGTTAGGTTTAGTGGAGTAGGTGAGATGGTAGTGGTGTAGTGGGTTAGGTTTAGTGGAGTAGGTGAGATGGTAGTGGTGTAGTGGGTTAGGTTTAGTGGAGTAGGTGAGATGGTAGTGGTGTAGTGGGTTAGGTTTAGTGGAGTAGGTGAGATGGTAGTGGTGTAGTGGGTTAGGTTTAGTGGAGTAGGTGAGATGGTAGTGGTGTAGTGGGTTAGGTTTAGTGGAGTAGGTGAGATGGTAGTGGTGTAGTGGGTTAGGTTTAGTGGAGTAGGTGAGATGGTAGTGGTGTAGTGGGTTAGGTTTAGTGGAGTAGGTGAGATGGTAGTGGTGTAGTGGGTTAGGTTTAGTGGAGTAGGTGAGATGGTAGTGGTGTAGTGGGTTAGGTTTAGTGGAGTAGGTGAGATGGTAGTGGTGTAGTGGGTTAGGTTTAGTGGAGTAGGTGAGATGGTAGTGGTGTAGTGGGTTAGGTTTAGTGGAGTAGGTGAGATGGTAGTGGTGTAGTGGGTTAGGTTTAGTGGAGTAGGTGAGATGGTAGTGGTGTAGTGGGTTAGGTTTAGTGGAGTAGGTGAGATGGTAGTGGTGTAGTGGGTTAGGTTTAGTGGAGTAGGTGAGATGGTAGTGGTGTAGTGGGTTAGGTTTAGTGGAGTAGGTGAGATGGTAGTGGTGTAGTGGGTTAGGTTTAGTGGAGTAGGTGAGATGGTAGTGGTGTAGTGGGTTAGGTTTAGTGGAGTAGGTGAGATGGTAGTGGTGTAGTGGGTTAGGTTTAGTGGAGTAGGTGAGATGGTAGTGGTGTAGTGGGTTAGGTTTAGTGGAGTAGGTGAGATGGTAGTGGTGTAGTGGGTTAGGTTTAGTGGAGTAGGTGAGATGGTAGTGGTGTAGTGGGTTAGGTTTAGTGGAGTAGGTGAGATGGTAGTGGTGTAGTGGGTTAGGTTTAGTGGAGTAGGTGAGATGTTGTAGAAATTTAATGTATAAAGAGAAATAGAGAATTGTATTATTGATTGATATAATGTTATTTTTATTACAATGATTCATGATTCCTATATATAGAAGATGGTGAGTGTGTAGTAGGTAAGGAGTAGGTGAAGTGGAGTTGGTAGTGGTGTAGTGGGTTAGGTTTAGTGGAGTAGGTTTAAGTGGGTGAAGTAGGTGGAGAGTATGTGGATTTAGTGGGTTAGGTTTAGTGGAGTAGGTTTAAGTGGGTGAAGTAGGTGGAGAGTATGTGGATTTAGTGGGTTAGGTTTAGTGGAGTAGGTTTAAGTGGGTGAAGTAGGTGGAGAGTATGTGGATTTAGTGGGTTAGGTTTAGTGGAGTAGGTTTAAGTGGGTGAAGTAGGTGGAGAGTATGTGGATTTAGTGGGTTAGGTTTAGTGGAGTAGGTGATGTGGTAGTGGTGTAGTGGGTTAGGTTTAGTGGAGTAGGTCTAAGTGGGTGAAGTAGGTGGAGAGTAGGTGGATTTTAACCCAAAGACAAGGGCAATATTGGAATAAATGTTTTCAAATTTGAATTCAAATGCAATGATTGCATGTCCTCTAAAAAAATCAAAGCTTCCAAAAAGGACTAACAAAATGGGACAAAGGGAGTATATATTTTGCTTTCTTTTATGCACAAAATTTGGATGTCCGTATTTGAAAATTTACTGTGTTGGCCTGCTAACCTTCCATTGTTTTGGTTTTCAGGTGTAAGAATCTTTGAGGATGTGGCTAACACAAAGGTACCTAAAAAATTCATTAATTTATAACTTGTATTGACCTCCTTGTGGTCTTTTATATCTTTATATTCTCTTTGAAGAATAATTAAAGAAACATTGTGTAATGAAGATAGGGAGAAATAAAAAATTAGGTGCACATGGAAAAAGGCAAGAGGGAAAGGAGTTTTTTTATTTATCTGTTGCGTAAGCTTCTGGTTATTGAGATATGAGAAATAGGACTCCATGGTACCACCAAAAAAAAGAAAAAGAAGAAGCTAGTTGTTTATTATGAGGAAAATATTTTTCTGTAATTAGAGATGAAGCTACAGAAAAGATCTAGAATAAAGAGAATTTAAGATGAGACTGAAACTTAATATACGAAGCTTTATAAAAACTAGATTTGCAAATGAGGGTGTCAGGAGGCTTTGAGTTACCAAAGATTGAATGATTTCTACTATTTAGACTTTGATTATATGAAGGGATGGAGACAGAGGTGGAGCAAGGACTATATTATGGGGAGGGGGGAGAAAAGGTGTTGGGGAAGGTCCCATTGGGCAGCGGGTCCAATCTGGGTTTCTTTTTTAATTAATAAAGGATTAAAGATCATATTATAAAGTGCCCAACTCAATTCAAACATAAAATCAAATAAGATCAAGTATTAACTTTCTGAAATTTAATCTTATGCAATGCATCAAACTATAAGGAGAAAAGGAACTATTTTCGACATTTTGAAAACAAATATATGTTGGCCAGAAACTTCAAATTTGGCCCAACTCTTGAACCGAGTTACTGTAGGGGACAGTAACAACTTGTTTTTTTGGAGACCGTTAATTTGATAGTTAGGCCAAAAGTTACTAAATGAACTCAATTATCTACTTCTTTTCTCGATTCTAGGATTTGATTAAGTCACATGTATCTCTTTGGATACAAGAAACTAATGACTTCATCATACACAACTCATCACATTATATTAGATCCTTCTTATTTTATTTTATTCATTATTCCAAAGTTTGAAAAGGTCCCACAATAAACCATCCTTATTTTTATGTCAATTATTGGAGAGTCACATCACATGCAATTATTTAAAGTGAGATAGCTAGTCAAGTTTATTGTACACAAATCTTATTATTATTAGTCCTTGTTTTACTCTACACAATGCTTTAGAGTTTGAGAACCTTTGTCTCCCTCCCCTGCCTTGGAGAGATTTCGGTAATAGTACTCATTGAAAAGGAGTAGAATTAGAATGGATTAAGTGAAAAGTACTTTTGCTTTATTTCATGATACGTTTATACATATGAAATTGGAGGGAAAAAAATAATGGTTGTGTTGTGACATCAACTTTATGATGTAGAAAGAAAGGAAGAAAGGGGAGACAAGAAGAACACAAGGGCTACAACCCTAATCGCACAAGGCCACAACCTTATCAATCCAAATCTATTAATCAACATTGAATAAGACGGTACAAAAAACTTAATATTTATAGATTAGAACTTTAATCAAAATAGAAAACTAAAACCCTAATAGAATAGGAAACCAAAGACTCCTAATTAAACTATAACTAAAAATAAATAAACATAAATATTAAAGATATTAAATTATAAAATCTCCATAACGAAATTACTGAACACACGTTTTGCATCACCTACTCTATGGGGCAAAATGTTGGTAGTTAATAAACCATAAGGTTTTTTTTTGTGTGTGTGTGGGGATATTCCAAAAAATCAAATTAAACTATTTATATAAATAACCAAAATTTCTAACTATTTATCAAATTACCTCACTTTTTAAAATCATTGGTTCAAAATATGATTTCATATTGACATGACCCACATCTACACACCAGTAAGCATAGTTGTTAAATCATGAATCGAATCGTAAATTGAAATTGCCTTGTACTGAATCGCGAATCGAATCGTGAATCATAAAGAATCAGTCACTTTTCTAAATTACTTAGAAAAATATATCTACACACTTGGATGTTAAATATATCTTATGAATATAAAATATTTAGGCTTAAATCAATAACAATGTTGTTTTGAATGATGATCCCATAGCTTAATAGGTAACAAGATAACAAAGGTTCTTATGTAAGATCACCATCTTACGTCTTCCCTTTTTTAGATATTTCTTATCTACCATTTTTAATAAAAGACGATAAACAAAGATAAACTCTCAATTTTCGAAGTAACAATAATTTAACAATAATATTGATATTTGGACAATAAGCATACATACTTTTCCAAGTAACAAGGACCATATAATAAGAAAGAATTATTTAGAATCTTTTATTTTAAAGTTTAAAACATTTTAAAATGTATAACTAACCTCACTCATGCAATATTTAATTATATTTAATTTAATAAAACGGTAATAGATAATTGGTGTAAGTTACTTTAATGTTAAACATCTTTAGAAGAAATATTATTATTTTTTCTACCGAAAAAAATGAGAAGAAATGTTACAAATATGTTGGGTTTGATTGAATCTGATTGGATCCTATTAAAAACTCAATAATCACTAAGATAACAACAAATCATGTATATATATTGGTTCTTTTGGTAGTAAACGCAATTAGAAGTTGTATTATGTCATTTTCACTAAAAAGATGGAGAAAAAAAGAATCAAATGATAATTTCAAGAATTGCATGAATTGTAAAAAATGAATCAAATCGTAAATCGATTGTGAATTGTGCGATTCACTATAGATTTACTCATAGATTTGTATTGATTTTGCAAAAATTGTGAATCGAATCGTAAATTGAATCGCAAATCGTAATATTATGATAACAGAGCCAGTAAGTCATGTCAACATGAAATTGCATCTTGAAGAAGTGATTTCACCATGAAATTGTATTTTGAACATACAATTTCATAATGAAGTCATATTTTGAACTTGCGTTTTTTAAAAGTAAGTTAGTTTGATAAATAGTTTTGAGTTTTTAGAATCTTAAAAAAAAAAAAAAAAAACTCAATAAACCATCTGCTCATAATATACAGATGATGAAATTTTGATGCTCGGATGTGTGGTAAAACGAGAAATGCTAGAAGTTATTAGAGATAAAATGAGAAAAAAAAAAACAAGTATGCTTTGGTTATCTGGAAGGCCTCATTTGAATTTTATTTATTTATTTTTTATTGGGGGTAGGTTATTTAACTAAAAAATGTGAAACATTTGTACTTTGAATTTAGCGTAAAATTAAAATTCTGTTGTTTTAGCTCAAACAACTAACTTTTTTCTAAGATGGGTTTGAGATGTTTTTTTAAAGTTGCAAACAAGTTTTGCCAAACAACCAATGTATAAGTGATATTGTTCTTGTTGCAGATAATTTAAGGGCAAATGGTAACACATTGTAGGATTTTGTTCAAGTAAAGTGGCCCTTAATCTCGCAGAATGGCCAAACAGGATTATTGAGATCGACTCCACTATGTTGGGACAATGTTTCATTGAGTGAAGTTATAAAAAAAAATGAAGGCTTTATTGAGTCGAGTTGGGTTATGTAATTAGGTGCAATTATTGTCATAGAATATTTAGCTTCTTTTTTTTGCTTTTTCTTTTTTTTAAAGTATGGGTCCAGTATGATGCACTTACATCAAACTGAAAATATGACTAAAAACCATAATAATTTTTCAATTTTTTGTGAACTCTTTTTTGTTGCTTGAAAATGAAGGTTTTCTGCAATTATAGAGCAGTAAAATATGGTGATAGTTTTCGGATCATAGGTTTAAGTTTTTAAGGATAACCATTTATCCTTGGTTTTGGTTAAGTTTTTGTTGTAGTGGGAATGGTAAAAAGAAAAAAGAGAGGCTAAATCTTATAATTACTTGCCTTCTGGATGACGGTCTTGTAGATTGACTCCACAGGAAGGACAAACTCATAAAAATAGTAGTCTCATTATAGAAGAATTGAGAAATCTGCAGAGCAACTTTATTTACAGAAAAATTGTTGAATGGTCTCAATAGGAATTTTAAAGAGGCACAATTCTCCAAAAATGAAACTTCAGAATGCATAGAGTACGAGTAAGAAAAGGGTTCCTAGATAATAAAGATCCATTAGCTCTAGACTAGAAAGAACTAAACAAAATGTATCAACAGAAAATTCACCGAGCTGAATCCGAAGCATGGATAAATATATAGAAATTCTTAATTTGCAGAATGCATAGCATATGAGTAAGAAAATGGTTCCTAGATAATAAAGATCCATTAGCTCTAGACTAGGAAAGAACTAAACAAAATGCATCAACAGAAAATTCACCGAGCTGAATCCAAAGCATGGATAAATATATAGAAATCCTTAATTTGAGGAATGATTTGTAATACATAATGTATAAATATGATTTTTCGATGTAAAAACAACCAAGAATCTTTGTGGGATCTGTGCAATTGATCCAAGACTGGTGGATCGTGTGTCTTCTTAGTAAAGACTTGTTAGGCCATTGATGATCATGTCCACATGAACTTTCTTGTCTTTTGTGTGTGCGCACATGTGAATCTGTTCTCTAAGCACGTTCTTTAAGGGGGTTGACCCCAATCAGTGTGTTTGGATGTTCTTTTGAGTTGGTGTCTGATATATTGTTTTTTAGAACATGAAAGGACTCTTTACTGGAATGAAATAATTTTATTTCCATTATAGACCAACAATTCCTGTAATGATTGGGAAAAATTTGAAATTCTAATTATTGCAATAACACACCCTAATTAACTTTGAATAATTATCATAAAACCTCCAGAGTTTTCTAGTTACTTATGTCTAGACCTCTGTCGGTTAATTTTTTTGCTCGACCGGTCGCCACAGTTTGCATTTACTAATTCCTGAGACCTGAGGGACAGACCCTCTGTGCCCAGTAGATGATGTTTAAATGATAATAGGATGCATGCCAATAAATTTAAATTCCCTTAGTTGTTTTAGAAATGCAGTGCGCCAATCACCTCGTTTGCATGCACCCAAGCTCAATTTGGCTCAAGATTCGAGAGATGGACTCTCTTGGTCTGGTATATTATGTTACAATGTTAATACAATATAATTT